GTAAGCGCCATGTTCTTAGCAAGTGCCCTAAAGACAAGCCGTCACTCCCCTGAAAACATATTGAAATGTAATGTTCCATGCAAGGGAGTGAATCAGCATGGGCGTACCGGAAGGAAAAAATTAGGGGGGCGGAAAGAAAATTGCCCGACTTTTCGGGATTCTGCCCGACTAGTACCATTATTTTGGCGACCTCCCCCCCCCCGTCGCCAAAAAAATTTCGGTCAGTGTACCATTTTAGGGGTCAAAAAAATTTTCCGGACAACCAAAATGTTTCGGAACATAACACAAATTTTCGAAAAGTCACATAATTTGCCAAAAAATTGACTTAATTTTAGACAAAATTGACTGAATTTGTCGCATTTTTTTTATTGCAAACCAAAATTGCCCGACTGTTGATCGAATATTGCCCGACTGCCCAAAAAACTGGGGGGCTACCGCCCCCCCCCCCCCCCCCCCCCCCCCCCCCCCGCCCGGTACGCCTATGAGTGAATGCCTCTCTTTAGGGCACTTGCTAAGAACATGGCCGCCAGATATGGGCAGTAAAAACTACCTTACGGGTTTTTCGCAGAAGTGAGACCTCTGTACATAATTACCCTGTGCTAGGGGACTTCTACTCGGCGAGTAGCACTTGATTTACAGGTCAAGCGACTTCAAACCGCCCCCCAATTGCTATATTCCAGTCTTCTCACGTGAAAAGCGCTGAAATATAAATAGAAGGCCCTAGGTATAGGCTGCTACTTGCCCTTAATTAGTAGTAACTTTCATACAGATCGTCCTGTCGTTTAATAAGTGTTTTTTATAGTTTGTCTACCGTACCAATACAGAAATCCTCTTGATAGTATGTATAAGTCTATTGTTTTACATTGAGATTTACAAGGGACCAAAACAAATACCTTGCTGTTAGTGTCAATGTGAGATTGACAATCTAACAAAAAAACTGAAAAAAAGAAATTGAAGCACTGTTAAAAAATAAAAGTACATAACACTGTAGTGTGGTCATAATGATCAGAGATTATCTTCTGAGATGTTTCCACTTGGTGTATCTGCCGCCATGTTAACCATAGCATTCCCTGCAGTTTCCATGTTTTCTACAGGTTCGTCATAGTAAGGTAGAAATGGAACAAATTTAGAAAATTTCCATTTATTTCCAACACCAAATGGTAGGTCATAAACATGAGCAGAAGCAACATTCTTTACAGCTTGACCAGTAGCAAGATTACGCCATTTCTTAATTCCTCTTTCTTCTTGTGTTCCGGGAATGAGGTTGTCAAGGAGGCAAGCAATTATTCCACCAACAGCCATACTGGTCTTCAACAGCACCGTAAATATTTGGTCTAATTCATCAACACCTATATAAAAACACATTGAAAGTAAATAATAACATATAAGTGATATTCTCGTGCTTTTTCCTTATTCGAAGCATACACTGTAGTACGCGTTTGACAAGACGGATTATCCGTCTGGACAAACTAGGACAGACTTCGTTCAGTCCCTTTAGGATTTCCTTTTATTGATCAGTTCAGAAAACTCGATTATTGTAAAATTCCTAATATCTTAGGCTCAGTATTAGATAGATTACCAGTGTCAATGACTCCTTCATTCTTTCCGAGATAATCAGGAATAACCAATCCCATAATGATAGCAAAACCAATAATGAAGAGATTTCGAACAGAATTGAGATTAACAAATTGCAAGTTAGAGATTCCCACTGCTGTTATTAAACCAAACATACAGCAGAAGATTCTACCAATCACAGGATCAGGAATGGTAGAAAATAATGCGCCAAATTTTCTAATTAAAGCTAAGATTATCATAAATAATGCTCCAAATTGGACGACACGCCTGCTGCCAACCTGCAAGTATACAGTTATGTAGTAATATAAAAAATACAGTGTTTGATATAGTTGCCATCTGCGAGTATGTATTGTAGCCTGCCAAACCGGAACTCCAGTCCCAAAACAAAGTTGTGCTTAATGTAAAGATCTTATGTTTATTAGGCTGTTCCTAAATTATTTCTGCCCAAACATTAAAGAGTAAGGAAAAATTGCTTACGAAAGTTGAAGATTTTTTTAAAAATTTGTGCGCCATGTTATTTTTTCCATGCAGACCCAGATTTGTACAGCCTCACTTGTGACATCATTGCGTACTTCTGACCTGTGCTTGATGGAACAAACTATACAGCAGCACCGATTTTGAACTCTTTAAAGGTCATTTGGAACAACACAACCGATTGCTATGGCAAACTATTTAACTCGTGCCGAAAACTTAAATTAACCTGTTTGAGATGACGCTACTTTGAGTGGCATAACACTTGTAAATGTAGCCAAT